ACCTCGTGACTCTTCACCTATACAAAACAAATGAGTGAACGTTGGTGAGACGTGAACCAATGTGAACTAACACGTTGTTGCACTTTTGGGGTGCGTACTACTCTTTAAAAGAATTTACTTCCTACTAGTAGTAGTTACTATAAATCGCATAGTTCGTACTACATATGTGAGTAAATTCTACCGGAACTAAAGGCGTGTACATCCGCAAGTATTTGCTATGCAGTAAATTCTTTTTCCTCAAACATTAGCATGTACTACTTTTTTATTCAACCTACCCATTGATGCCATCTCGATAGAAAATAGCAGATTTTTGATTTAATGAAGCCGAGGTCGCTTGGGACCGAGGCAGTACAATATTATTTCAATTGTACGGTCCCGTCCGCTATCAACATCATAATTAAGCGTAATTGTACAATTTCCCTTTTAAATAAGCCGAGGTCATTGTATTATATTCATTATATTTATTGTACTGAATACAATCTCGTCTCTCTGTCACTATTCGTAGTAAATGTATTATACCTTATAGTATATTTTTAGTGCATAGTACAATCCATTTCTCTCAGTGTATGAATTATATTGTCCCATCTGCTAACAGCCTCGGCATAATCAAACAAAATTGTATATTTTCCCTTTTAGTTAAGCCGAGGTCGCTTGTGACCGAGGCTCTACATTGATGCTATCTCGATAGAAATCTGCAGATTTTAAAACTGTATGGTTTAATTAATCCGAGGTCGCTTGCGACCGAGGGCGGTACAATATTGTCTTCATTGTATGGTCTCGACCGCTAGGAACCTCGGCATAATTAATCGTAATTGTATATTTTCCCTTTTAGTTACGTCGAGGTGGCTTGCAGCTGAGTCTCTACATTGATGCTATTTCGACAGAAAACTGGAGATTTCAAAACCGTATGATTTAATTAAGCCGAGGTTGCTTGTGACCGAGGCAGTACAATATTATCTCAATTGTACGGTCTCGTCCGCTAGCAACCTCGCACAATAAAATTGTAAAGCTAGGTGTCCACAAGGAGACTAAAATCTCATGAGATGTTTGTTTTATGACAAATTTATCTAACAAGTAACACTAGGGAAATGCCATACGGCGATTTTCTTCGATATGTAAGTATATCGTCATATCTGCCCGATCGTCGTTTTAAGGGTAGAAAACACTCTTTCCGATTTTGGTTTGATTATTTTACCTTTCTTATGGTTAGCGCTACCCAGGATGAACGACGTAGACGTGAGCTAGGGTTCTCATCCCATTGGAGTGCTTTTTGACCTATACATTAAAATTAGTACAGTAATGTACATTGATGTCAAACACCAAGCACATTTAATTATTGCCATATCATTGCAAAGTTAACACAAATTTTTACAGTTTTTGAAACAGACGTCCGCAGGAGTTTCGCATTTGTCGGGCTTTTCTGCAATATACTCACATTTCCACCAAGCGTATTGAAATATATTCTTAAATCTCGGAGAGGAAAACTGGTTGTGTAATAAAGACTGTATTTTGAGGATGTTGTTCCTTAAATGTAATTTTATATCATAATTATACAGCATAACAATATTAAACAATTGTCTTAAAAAATTCTTCCAAGGTTTCAAAGTATAAACATCCAGTGGCCGAATGAATTGAAATTTGGATGAAAAATTTAGATGTTTTTATAACTTTTATCAATATTCAACAAAAATATCAACAAAAGAACAGAGTTTTCCCGGGTGTTTGATAAAAAAAGGTGTTTGAACCAACTAATGGCAAGATCGGATGTTAATTTGCCTGATTTTGTTGCTAATATTTATTTATTTATCTCATGTGGGTATAGAAACAGGTCGAACCCAATAACAATGTAACACAAACAACCAATAGTATACAAATAAAATTACAGTTCACAATAACAATAATGAATTAATATTAATGGTACAAAAGTGAATCAAAAAGAAAAAACTAAAGAGCCAACACACCAACTGCAGCAAAGAGCAGTTTTTTAAACGCATAGAAAAGAATGCTGAAACAGATCTATGTTAACACGATTTGCTGATCTTGCCATTCTCAATAAAGGACAGTTTTGACAGGCATTGGTTCTAGGAGTAGATGTCGTAAATAGAAAGTCAAAGTGAAGTAATCTCGGAGGAACATGAACACATATAGAACCAACAAGCATTGGAGAATCACACTTGTTCAAAAGTTTGTAAAAATATAACATATCCCAACATATATTGTATGCTTTGTACAAAGTTTTTACATGCATTACAACTTGTAGTGATAAGTTTGCATGATTCGTTACTGTTAGGGGTAGTTTTTGATATTAATCATTTTTCTAGAAATCCGCCTTAAAATTATCCTCATTTTCTAGTGACATGATTTCCCAACAATCGTAAAAATAAGAGAAATTATCTTCAAAATCAGAAAGGGCGATTTTTACCCTTAACACGTTGACTGCCGTGTGTATCCAAACTGGTACACACTTCTGTAGTGTAGTAATGCGCGTGATATACCCGCGGCAGTCAACGTGTTAAAACAGTGATCAGGTAGATATGACGATATAAGTGTCGAATGTTTTTCCACACACTACTTGTATATCAAGTTTCAAGAAAATCGTCGTGGCACTTCCCTAGTGTTACTTGTAAGATGGGTTTCCACAGAACATAGATATTTCTGTGAAACACCCGAGTACAGAAATTTTTCTCTCATGATATAAGGTGTTTCTGAATATGCTGTTTCCACAGTTGTTAATATACATATTGTAACTGGAAGGCAAACACGTTGTCATTAAAGCACCTAAACATAGTGGAAGCTTGTACCTACAGTTACAATTGCATGCTGGAACTGTGGACGAATTTCTGATGGATTTAATAGATGCTTCCTTTCTTTTTGAAAAATTTCCAAAACCTAGACCACTACCAGGACAAACTAAGCCAGTTGCCTTTATAATCGTAGCTGATGACGCTTTTGCCATGAAACCATATACAACTATCACGGGCACGCAGATCAATTCAGAATGCTTGTGGTTTAGCGTCAATTAGATTTCGTGTACTTAGGTCTATTACTACCATCTTTTAGATAAATTTATCTAATAGATAAACCCATCTACTAGCCAATCAGAGCGCGTAAAATAGCCGTAACCATGGTAATAATCCCTTAGATAGCTTAACCAGAAGATGGTAGTAACGAGCTTTAGGTCTATTACTACCATCTTTTAGTTAAATTTATCTTATAGATAAACCCATCTACTAGCCAATCAGAACGCTAGTAGATGGGTTTATCTATTAGATAAATTTAACTAAAAGATGGTGGTAATGGACCTTAGAAGACCAATTAAATTAGAATCTGAAAAAGTGATCTGCCGTATGTGTGTTGCATAACTTTTTAATGTCACGGTCGAAAACACTTTACGCTCCTTATGGTAGCTTCGATGTAGAATATCACGAAAATGGCACAATACAACCAGGACAATGGAGACCAGACGTTCAGGATTAACTTACAAGTTAATCCTAAGCTTCGCGGAAATTTGGAAGCCAAAGATGTACAACTGGCATTTATACAATATTTCCACCATGAAGATGTTCGATGGCAATACACACTGAGAGAAATGGATTGTACTATGCACTAAAAATATACTATAAGGTATAATATTTTACTACGAAAAGTGACAGCGAGACGAGATTGTATTCTGTACAATAAATATAATGAATATAATACAATGAATTGCAGCATGTATACAATGAATTGCTGCATGTATAATATTATTTCTATAATACGACTCGTACAAATCTATTTCTTTCAGTGCAAATATATATAAAAAATGTATGATTAAACTTGCCAATGAATCAATTGTTGTTTTATTACCACCATTGGTACATCTATGAAGTTTAAAATTGTCTATCTAAAAGTTTAAAGGCCGCTTTTAGTGTGTTTTCGTTTCCTGTTAATGCTCTGGAATTGGCAACGAAGTTTATGTATTTTATCCTTCACTTCTTGTGTCGGAACTCAAAACTTATTGGAAATTTTCATGAGACAAAAATCTCATTATGGATTCGCACCTTGATTGTATAATTTTCCTTCTAGTTAAACGAGCTCGGTTTAACTTGAAAGGAAAATAGATGATTGTGTTTGGTTAAGTAGGGATCATACAATATTGCATCAATTGTAGTATCTCGGCCGCAAGGGACCTTCCCTTAATTCGGTTGACCCATTTTTATATAAATGTTGTAAAATGCTAAAAGATTTAAAGATAATATTAATTTTTTAAAATTTAATCTTAAGTTCTGATATAAAGATTCTGAAAGCCGACCCTTAACCGAGACTATCCGATTACTTCTTGGTCGATCAACTCGCCACCAAGTTGAAGATAATTATATTTCCACAAGAGATGACAAGTCGGCCGTTATATAGTATTCTAAGAGGTTTTATTACGAAATTAAATCGCATAGAAAATGATCGGCTCCTATTTAACAAGGAAGTCGGTAAAGAAAATAAAAAGGGGAAATCCCTCTGTGTGCGCAGATTAATTTACAACTTGTTTAAACCGTCTTAGATTTATTACGATTGCGTGAAAATTACCAATTTATATATAAAGAAAATTAATTGGTCTTTTAATTAAGAGGAAGCTTTACCTAACCAGTTTTAACTACTTTTCTTAAGTGCACCAATTAGTTAAAAGAACTAATAAAATTTCCCAATTCCCAATAAAAAGTGCGAAATGTGTAATTAACGATGAGAAACCGTCCGTAACGTTAATTTTATTTATTCCTTTTTTACGAAATGTTTCCTTTTTCCTTTAAAGTTTAAACGAACCAAACTTTATTTTGCAAGGTTTTCGTTTTCTCGTTTACGATGTGGCAACACAATTTTAACGTAACAACTAATAATAAAATTTGTTGATTGAAAAAAAATAACGTGTTTTGAAACATTAAGATTTGTTTAAAGTTTAATTTAACGCTTTTGTAATTTGTATAACATGTGATAATAAAAATCTTGTGAAAGCACTTAGAATAAAATTCTTTTAAATCTATTAAAATTCATGTCGAGAGTTTACTAAGAATTTAATGCACCGTGTTTTTAGTTTTTCTCTTTTTTTTTTGAAACCGGAAACACGGTTTATGCATCGCTGATTCTATAAAAGGGTGGTGCGGACTGTTTTTCATTATATACCCGACCGGAAATGCTGCATCGTAATGACCATTTAAAGCCCCTATATTTTTATATTCATTATTCATTTCCATAATTTTAAAATAACCTGTTTCACATACCAAGTTAGAAAAAATGAGCAAAATAGGCACACTTTTATAACAAAATTGACACACTTTTAAAAGAGAATAAAAGAGAAAGAAGTAGAATTCTTTATTAAACCCGACCACTTTTTTGCACTCATCTAAGTCTCTTTAAATAGGAGATAATTAACGCTCAACTTGACAACAATCAACAACTTTCTCAAAAACAATTTGTCAACATTTTCTTTTTCCCTGACAGCTTTATTTTTTGTCAATGTCTTATTATTATCAAAAAATGAATTCGTCCATTATGTTATTATCCAAATTAAAACCATTTCATTTAATGAAAAGAGGATTTCATATAACCCCGCCAAAATTGGATAAACCAAAAAAATTTTCACCATGCGAAAAAACCTTTTTAATGGTTAAACCGGACGGGGTTCAACGAGGAAAAATTGGCGCAATCATTTCGCGCTTTGAAGAGCGCGGATTCAAATTGGCCGGGATTAAAATATTATCAGCCAGCGAACAAATCATCAGATCTCATTACCACGAGCATGTAGATAAGAAATTTTTTCCGGGATTATTGGAGTATATTAAAAGTGGCCCGGTAGTTCCAATGATTTGGGAGGGAAAAAACGTCGTCGAAGTAAGCCGCGCGATGGTGGGCCAAACGCACCCGATGAAATCAAATCCTGGGACAATCCGGGGCGATTTTTGTTTGGATTTGGACCGAAACATGATTCACGGATCGAGTGATGTTCAAGCGGCCGACTACGAAGTTAAAACTTGGTTCAAACCGGGAGAAATTCTTGATTACGATATGAATCAATACCCTTGGGTTTATTCCGAATCGGAAAACTAGAAAAAATCAATAAAATTGCTTAAGATAGAAAAGTTGTGATTAATTTCTTTTTTCTTTCTTTTTGTTTTAACGGTTTCTTAAAAGGCCTTAAAGAGCGTTTTAAAGCGGCTCGTTTGCTTCCAATTGAAGAGAGCCGTTCTATTTTACTGAAAACTAACATTACACTCAATCGGAAGACAGTTACTTGACTTAGATAATCCTTATTAGGTGCGCTACTGTTAAACCGTCTAGACTAATCATTAAGAAAAAGAATGTTTTAATCGATCCTAAAAGAAATTTTAATGATTCTAAAATATTCTTTAATCTATTATATTTATTGATTTTTAATGATAATTTTGAACGATTCTTTAATTATTTGTTTTATAAAGAAATGGCTGAAGGAGAAATGCAACCAGATACAACAAGCACGAACTAAACACAAAAAACATCGGGGTGTTTTGAGGGACGGAAATAAAATCTCGTCCACTACCAACCTCTCATAGTCAAGTGTAATTGTATATTTTTTCTTTTAGTTATTAAGCGATCGAGGCATATTGTTATTTGTTATTACCCTTTATAATTTTAGTCATCATCAATCTTGTTTCCCAAAAGTATTTATAACATTAATACTACATTTTTAACATGAAAATTCATTCATCGACCATGTAAGCTTTATTAAGCTCTGTTATATCCCTTACAAATGTTCTGCTCATTTTTAGTAGTTCTCAGACGTTGAGAAGAAAACTAAATGTTTCTGAAAGTCTTATATGGCAGTAAATATATTTTAAAGTTAGTCTGCATCCCAGCAATCCTTCGTCCTACTCGTCAATGTGTTGATTTGTAGGGCTATTTTGTTTTCGGTTACCATTTACGTCGTAGCTTTGTATACAGGGTGATTCGGGAGGAAATGGAAAGATTTTAAGGACATGTCTAGGAAGCTAAAATAAGCAAAATAAGCCCATATGTTTAAATCCGATTTTCATTTGTTTCCGAGATAATTAGGTGTTTCTTTTTAAAAAGTTAATCAAGTTATGTTTGACAACGTTATCCTATATGACAATTTGAAACAAAATGTTAATTGAAGTGATAGTTGTAATTGTTACGAAATAATAAAAATGCCTCACATTTTCAGTCATAGAGAATATGCAGATATGGTGTTTGTTTATGGTTTTTGTAATGGTAATACTGTTCGTTCAATAGAAGAGTATCGACGTCGTTTTCCGAATCGAAGAATTCCTAATAGGCAAGTGTTTCAAACTGTTTTTACACGTGCTGGCGAAAGTGGAATGTTCCCAAGTGCAAGCATTGTTTCTGAAAAACAGCAAGGGCTCAGTTTGGAACATGAAGAAAATATTCTGGATGTTGTAGAAAATAATCCAGGAATAAGTACAAGGCGTATGGCAATACAATTTGAAATTCCACAAACAATGGTTTGGAAAACATTAAAGCGGCAAGGCTTAAACGCTTTTCATTTGCAGAAAGTATAAAATCTCCAAGAAGGCGATTATCCATTATGACTACAATTTTGTCAATGGACTCGTGAAAACAGAAGATTACTTAAATGCATATTATTTTCTGATGAAGCTCAATTTACTCGAGATGGAATTAACAATTACCATAATAATCATCGATGGTCGGACGAAAATCCCCATGCCACGCAAGAACACAATTTCCAACATCGGCATCGGTTTAGTATTAATGTATGGTGCGGCATTCTAAATGATCAGTTGTTTGGTCCTTTTGTGTTGGATGGCCGTCTTACTGGGGAAGGTTATTTACATTTTTTGGAAGACCATTTAGAGGAAATATTGGACGATGTACCTTTGAATATTCGACAACGTATGATCATATATATCGTATAGGCATTTCGACGATCGCTGGATTGGCAGAGGAGGCCCGCACACTTGGCCACCGAGATCACCGGACCTCACTCCCCTAGATTTTGTCTTTGGGGATGGATGAAGTCCTTAGTTTATGCTAGGAAAGTGGACACAAGGGATGCGCTACTAGATCGTATTCTTAATGCTACGGCGTTCATTAGAGCGAATCATCGTTCACTGAAACTGGCTACCAGGTCCATTTATAAACGCGCAAATAAGTGTATCGAAGTGGGTGGTGGAGTTTTCGAAAATTTAATGTGAGTTAATGCTACTTGTTTTTTTGGTTTGTTAGTTTAGTAATAAATTTTGCTTTAATTTTGAAATTATTATTGTTCAAAATATCTCAAACAAATGAAAATCGGATTTGAACATATGGGCTTATTTTGCTTATTTTAGCTTCCTAGACATGTCCTTAAAATCTTTCCATTTCCTCCCGAATCACCCTGTATATCTCCTGATACCCCAAAGCCTGATTTGCTTTCTTTTTTGGATGCTTTGGAACATAGATTATTGAACTTTCCTGTACTTATTATAGGAGACTTTAATTTACCTGATTATGTTAAAGGTCCAGGTACTACTGTTTCTAAACTTGTGTCTAATACTGGGCATCAGTTCGAGCTTCTACGTGATGACCTGCCTCTTGTATCTGAAGATTTGTATCATCCTGCCTTAAATATTACCATAATCTTACTCGCACCAAGTAACAATCAATCAATTTTTCCAGCTTGTGGCAGTCGTTATCATTTTTGCAGAACCAACTTTTATGGCTTGTATGGTGATTTCCTCGAAACATGAGGCATGTTGATGATGCTGTGCGGTTATTTTACGTATAGATCCATGAACTATTGGATCAGTCTGTTCCAAAAAGAGCGTATCTACTTCTAAATACACTCCTGAAATTAAAAAATCTTTTATTGTTAAAAGACTTCTATAGAAGAAAGTGGAAGAGAACTAAATATAAATTTTATCATGCGGAGTTTGAAAAATTGAGATTTTTGACTAAGCAAAAGATCTCTGATTTGCATATAGCCTTTACAAGTAATGCTGACCAGTCACTGCGCTCTGATCTTCGTAGCTTCTGGATTTATATAAGGCATAAAACTATGACTACAAAACTCCCTGGTGAAATGGTTTTAAACGAGTGGATCTACGATACTCCCTATAATATAGTTAATCCTTTGCCGATTACTTTTCGGGAGTTTGTAGTGGTGACTCTACCTACGAGTTGGTTCTTGATCTTCTTAAGAAGTTTCCGAACAAATTTACGGTTGGTGATGATAACCTTCCAGCGTTTTTTATTCGTGATTGTAGCACAATTTTTGCGTCATCATGAACTTGTGTCTAAAGACGGGTGAGTTTCCTAAAATCTGGAAGCGATCACGGATAATTCCCGTTTTCAAGCGTGGTGATCGTCACATCCCCATAATATCTAACTTCGCTAAAGTATTTCAGCAAATCATCTATGGAGCTATTTATTCGCAAATTTAATCGTTTGTATCGCCGCACCAGCATGGGTTTATAAAGCGTCGTTCAACGATTACAGTCTTGCGGTGATTACAGAAGTAATATGTGAATCCTTGGATAGGGGTGGTCAAGTGGATGTAGTGTACACTTACTTTTCTAAGGCGTTTGATGTGTTTTCCCCAGGGCTTATGTGTCTTGTTTCATCGTATTTATCAAGGAGGACAAATTATGTATTTTATAATAGCTTTGCTTCAGTGGAGTTTATCGCACGATCTGGTATCCCACAGGGCTCTAACTTGGGTCCACTACTGTTTGTAATGTTTATTAACGACTTATTAAACAGATTTAAGTCTGGTGTATTGGCTTATGTTGATGATCTTAAGATATTTCGCCCTACGACCTCGGAAGATGACATGGCTTCGATGCAGTCGGTTCTTAATATCTTGGTGGAATGGTGCGATCGGAGTCAGCTCAGAATGAATGTGGAGAAGTTTAATGCTATTACGTAGAACTACTCATATCCCTTCATCCTACTGTATAGGTCCAATCTCCCTGTTTAAGTTGACTTCTGTCAGAGATGTGGAAGTAACTTTTGATAGCAGACGCGAGGATCCACGCGAGGATGCGTCGCTTTGAGCTCTGTACTTCACGAATTCTGCAGTATACATATTGCTTTTTCGGGCGTTTGTTCTGCTGAGAATGGAGTATGGTTCTGTTATATGGTCACCGCATTATATCTCGCATGGTCTTTTATTGGAGAGAATTCAAAAAAGGTTTTTAAACTCCTGTTCGAGGCACTGACTATCAATCTTTGTTGCAACGTCACAATTTTTCTTCGCTTGTCACTCCAAGGGATGATCTCGACGTTAGATTTATTGTAAAGCTGATGATTTGTGAGACGGATTGTAACTGGTTACTCTTTTGCATCATCTTCAGTGTACCCAGACACGCTACCCGATACAGCTGTGTCTTCTATTTGAAGAATAGTAGAACCAACATGCAGTCTTGTGCTCCGCTACAGAGAATGTGCAGACTTATAAACCTGAGAGACGATTACAATGTTTTTACTTAGTGTTTAATTGATTCTTGTGTTAATGTAAGTTTGTATTTCTGTATAGTATAATATTGTCCTGTAATTGGTACTTTGTTGGCCAATAAAAATATTTATTATTATTTATCTCCACGTTTTGCATTTACTTCTAGCACTTCCATTTTGTACTCGAGCTGTACACATTTAGGCAGAACATGAATCTTGCAGATGTAATATGAAATATTAACGGTCCCCCTCCTTCCCAACAATCTTATGTTAACATCTTATTTTCATTTTCAAGGCTTAGTTTTATTGTTTTTATTATTATTCTAGAGTATCACACAATCAAGCAAAACATGAATTATGCAGATGCAGCATGAAATGTCAAACTATCCATATATTGTACGCCATATCATCTAGAATGTAGAGTATTGTAAAAAAAGTTCTTCCTTTGGCATTGAGAACGAAACTGAACATGGCATTACCAAGACAAAAATAAATGTATATTTTATCAAAATATTAAAGTTATATAACAACGGTGGGCAAATACGGCCCTTTCTTTATTTAAATGCGGCTACAAGCGACAATATGTATGTAGTTTCACGTGGAGGTGAATTTCTTCACAGCACTTAGGCCCCAGCGGGCCTTTTCTCCGTCCCCACAATTACTGGTTCATTCAAGGGTCAGAAAACCAGCCCAATCTTTTCATGAACGTTAATATAGAACAGAAAGGTATGTTCCTTATATCCGACATTTAAGTACGCGAGGTTGGGACCGTCACAAACAATATGACTTACCGTATCGTCTTCCATTTCACACCCTCTACAGAGGGGTGTATTCGCCAGCTTGATGCAAAACATGTGCTTACGTAACCTGCAGTGCCCGGTCAGGAAGTGGGTGAGAAGCCTCAAGTCACTTTTTGATTTTTCCAGAAACTGAGTAGATCTCTTCCGGTCAGGGTAGAGCAGAGTTTTCTTAGCAAAGACACCTGCTGCTGTCCCATCCCATCTGTTGCAAAAAACTGATGAAAAATCATCTGTCCGCCAGCCTGTCCGCATGATCATGCCCTTTAATTCCGATGTGTCCTTTTCGCCACTTTATCGTGACGTTGTATACGTTTGCCTCCTCGAGTGATTGTCGACAGGACTTCACCAACGATGATGCAGTGTGGTGCTTACCAACCGCCAGCATAGCCTGTCTGCTATCAGTGCAGATTACAACGTTTCTGCCGACTTTTTTGGAGTCGATAATCGCATCGGCTGCTATGTTTATAGCAGTTAATTCGGCTTGAGCAGTCATGCAATACGATCCTAACGAAGTGGAATGGTGCAACTGGAGATCGTGCGAGAGAATTCCCGCTCCGGAACCTCCAGCCTTCTTTGATCCATCAGCGTAGATGATCAGCGTTTTGCCCGAGCTTGAGTTGCTCTGGGGTATCGTTTCAATGCCAAAGTGGGGCTTCCCTAAGAAGGCTTGCCCATTTTAACAACCTGCTTTTCATTTATTGATCGCAGTCGAAGCAATGCCATCGCGGCCAGCTCTCCCTGATAAAAATATCTAGGGGCAGTACGTTCAGCATAGTCTCCATCGCAATCGTAGGTGTATATCTCATAGCGCCTGTGATTAGCAGGCAGGCCAGTCGTTGCAGTTGATGCAGCAATTTTGCTTTATATGCATGTTTTAGTGCTGAGCATCAAACTATGGCTCCGTGAGCCACCATGAGTCTTATCACAGAAGTATAGAACCACATTATAACTTTCGGATTTAGTCCCCAAGTATTCGCAATAGCCCTTCGGCACTGGTTCAGTACAATCGTTGCTTTTTTGGTTTTGCAACTAATGTGTGATGTCCAAGTTAATCCTTTGTCCAAGATAACACCCAGATATTTCACCTCTGGAGCAAAGGTTAATATGGATTATTACAGAAATTGGGTGGCGTTAAGTGTCCCAGTTTCTTCTGTTTAGTGAAGAGAACAGTCTCAGTCTTTTTAGGATTGACAAAGAGGGACAGTATATTGTAATATACAATTTATACAAAAATTACTATTTTACGATATTTAGCTTGGTTTTTATGATATTCATGATTCAATACCATTAGTAACCGCTCACAACCGGTACGTGTTTGGACGTGTTGATGTTATAATTGCAGCCTCTTTACTGTTTTTAAAAGTAAGTTATTATTCAATTATTTATTATAATAAATACTTTTAAGCAACATGACAACCGAAAATAAAAAACGAAAATATGAAGAAGAAAATATATGTTTTCGTAGCGAATGGTAAACAATTGTGTCTTATTTGTAAAAGTACTATCGCAAACTATAAAATAAGTAATTTAGGCCCACTTTTACCATCCTCCTGATAAACTATCTAGAGGATAGTTGCCATGGTTACAGCGGTTTTAAGCGCTCTCATTGGCTAAGAGCTGGATTTATCTATCGGATAAATTTATCAAGAGGTGGTAAAAGTGGACCTTAGACAGACATTAAGAAGCAACTCATTCCGCAATTTTCCATTCAGTATCTAAGTTCGAAATTGCGAAAAGAAAAATTAATGTCGTTAAAAAAGTAATTACTTAATCATAAGTAAATATTTAAAATTTGCAAATATGTAAAATATTGTAAAGAGTTTTTTAGAAGAACTGAAAGAGGAAGGAGATGAATCACAAAATGATATATCATTTTACTGTATTGTAAGATATTATGGATAATATTCTGTAAGATATTCTTTAATATTACTAAAGATAAAATTAACGAACATTAACGAAGAGTTGAAAACGAATTTTAATACCAGATTTGAAGATCTGAGAAATTTTAAACAATTTAATCTTTTGTCAATCCATTTGCAATTGATGTAATTCAAGATGGTTTTTCTATTTCTGATATAATACTATCCGATATAGCATCGGGAGAATTAGAAGTACTAAAAATGAAGGAGGGTCAGGCATTTTGGATAGTGGTGCCAGAAACAATATATCATAATTTAAAGAAAGCAGCTTGTCGACTATTTTCAATTTTTGGTACAACATATTCTTATGAGACTTTATACTCATACAAGAAATTAGTTAAGACAAAATATCGCTCACAATTAACTACTCAACATCTCAAAAAATTACTACGAACTACTTTGACAAATTACACGCCGGATTTTAAAACATTATCAAACGAAAATCGGCAGAACTTATGATTATTAAATATTTTTTTTTGCTAGCTGCTTTTCAATTATCTTTATCTCTTTTTGGCTCGCAAAAGAAATATTGAACGTGTATAAAGCTCCTGTTGAGATCAGCTCTGCCTAGCTCTGTTATATAACGTAAATTGATTAAAATTATAACATTAAAAAAACTTTCACAACTAGTTCATTTTTTCTTTGTCTTTTTTGATCTTATTTTTCGATCGGTTACACAAAAGTTCCTCTCTTCCGCGTGTTGTGTTTATTTTAAAATCGCCGGTTCGCTGTTCTATCCGGGATTCTAGGTCACATATACTTTAAAACTTGCACACACACATCAATACACCGCCAGAGAGGCTAACGGCAGACCACTCACCATTTAGAAACATTTTTTTTTTTTGATTTAACGGAAAATTTTCTGAAACCGAATTAAGTTATTTTTAAAAGAATCTTATGAATAAAATTAAAGATATTTTAAGTTGAATAAGCGGAAAATTTTCATTTATTGTTGGTCGATTTGCGTGTCTCCCCGAAAGTTTTACTCTGCATTTTCGTACCTGGCACGATGATGAAAATGGGCAACTAAAAATGGAGACGCCACAACTTTAAAGATTTTCGATAAACCAGCAAGTTATGAAATCAAATAAATTTCTTAGGTAATTTTATGAGAAATAAGAAAAAAATTTAGCAAAAAGGAGCACGTGCTATAACCAATTTTTTTATTTCCTTTTAACTCTTTTTATCTTAATTTTCCAAGCGGAGATGACGATGATGATGATGGCTGGCGGATTTTTGTTGGCAACTTTCAAGGTTAACTGGTATAATAATTTGAGGAGGTAATTACCTCCTAGATTATATCCTATGTAATTAACATAAATGTTAAAATAATCTCAAAATTTTCATTATTTTGAAGACTTGGTCCTCATCTAATTGGGTGGTTAAGTTAACCGAGGGATTTTTGAAATAAAAATTCTCATAGCGTGTAAACGAAGATGGAAAGAAAAATATTTAGAAAGTTTCCTACTTTTAAATCAAACTATTTAGTAACAGTGTCGAGGCTAAAAATATAATTAAATACAAAAAAAAAATTAAAAATCACTCACCGTTAACAAAAATCCGTCCCTATTCTCGCTTTTATCGTAATAACTTCTACTCATTCCAAATCCAACACGAATCCCCCAATTTCCTTTAATTTAATCGTTTTTTCCACAAGTTTTCCTAACCAAAAAAAAAAATCGCGAACTGTCAGTGTAAGTAAATAATTTTCTCCGGAAAGATTATAAAACTAAAGAATCCTTAATTTTATTAATTCCAGTCCGTTTCCTTTACTTAACTTCCCATAACCAACAAAAACATTAAAACTTCAACCGTCAAAAACCCGTCAAATGAAAAAGTGAGGTTAGGTTTGGGTAATAACTTTATGACGCGAATCCGCCCGAAAATCGTCACAATCACACGCGTTTAATCACATGTCGATGATTTTCGACGTGATCTAATCGAAAATACACATGATTTTAACACGATTATTCGTTAACGAATGACTCACACAACCAACAAACAGCTTTCGTATTGAATTGTGAAACTGACTGCAGTGAAGTTAACATCTGGTGGAGTGATTGTGTTGGTATTAATTGCGCCATCTATTATTAACTGGTTGAAATTAATAATGCGAATAAAAGAAAATAGATGGCGGGATTAAATTTAAATTTATTTATTTAATTTAATTTAAAAATAATTTTTAATTAAGATGCACAGAGGTGGTCGTATTACATAAATTATATAGAGCTATTCCAATGGTGCTTAAACCGATGAGGTTTAACCCGATTATTATTATGATTGCAAATATTAGAATCTCTCTTATTTCTGGGTTCATATTTCAAATAGTCGATTTGACGTTTAAAAGAGTAATGTCATTTTGTTGTAATTTTAAAATACGAAAAAGACGTAGAAATAAAATAGATTAAAATGATAACAAACCCGGATATGATGGTTGGAAGACGCAGAATGGAATTTCGTTCCATCAAATACCTTTTACCAATAACTATCGGCTTGGTCTTCTTAGCGGCTGCTTTAACCGTAGCAGTGATTTATACAGGATTTCGACATCATAATTGTATTTTATGTAATTGTTCTTGTAAAAATTAAAATTAAAATGATGCTTTAAAATGTTGTGTCAAATTATTTTTTCTTATTTTGGCTCTACAGCGTTTTGTGGGTTTTAGCCTCCTCAACAATTCAAGTCATCCTTCATGTCATTCAACCATCTTTTATGAGGTCTTTTCTCTGTTGGTTTCCATTGGTAAGCCATCTAATTCGCTGAGATTTAACAAATCTGCTTATGTCTGCATCATCAACCAAGGCATTGAGTTCAAAATTCATTCGAGTTCTCCATATTCCATCTTGTAATTGTACCAGACCAAATTCCTTCTCAGTATTCTACTTGTGAACTTTTTTTATGTAGATCTTCTTCGTATTTTTTTAGTACAAATTATTTTTTAGTGGCGTCAAAGATTTTGACAGAACTTTGAAAACTGACGTTAATTGTTATATTCATTTTATGTAAAAAGAATACGGTAAAAGTGAAGATAAAAACGTTGAATGAAATGATAGAAAACCATGACGTGTTGGTTGGAAGACGAAGAATGGTATTTCCTCCAATCAAATACATTTTACCGATTGTTGTTGGTTTGGTTTTTTTAGCGGCCGCTTTAACCGTAGCTGTAATTTATACTGGATATCGACATAAACATTGTATTTTATGTAATTGCTCTTGTAAAAATTAATAAATAATTATACAGTATGCAAAATCAGTATTCGAACACCCACCAAAAAATTAGAAAATCACGAATCAATTACTCATGAATGGTAAGCAATAAGCAATAGTGGATGTCTTGGTTACCTATACAGTTCGACAACTGTACACATTTTACTCACAGTTGACAGCAAAAACCGTATTCTTGGATAGATAACTGCTGTTATACAAGATTTTTAATCGTGTTTTGTCCCCATTTTGATTGTTAAGCACTGTTTTTTTCAGAAAACTTCAAAGTCAATAATTGAATTATTATAAAAATTACGCAAAATTCGAAGTGGATAGAAAGTCAATAGAACTTTCAAATGAACAAAGAAAAATAACAATAAAATTTCATATAAATCAAAAATCTGCTTGAAATTGTAAAAATAATGAAGCGCAGCACCTCTACTACACAATAGGTGGTGCGGAATTATGAAAAGACAGGTGAAGTTAACAAAGCTGAAATGATAATGGATAATGGAATGATAATTTTCACAGATGAGACTAAACTTAATATAAAAATATCGACTGGACAAGTAAAAATTTGGCGAGAGATAAACAAGCCTATATCCACATAATCTGATACCTACATTTAAGCGTGGTGGAAGTTTGGTGATGAAATGGAGATGTTTTTCAGCGGCAGGACTACGGAATTTTCATTTTATAGATGGAATATTGTCTGCAAAACGGGTTTAAGTTTTCTGCTAATAGTAATCTTCTAGAAACAGTGTCTAGTATTCTACCAGTTATGTTTTGTGTTATGCTAATTGTAACTAGTCTTCTGCAAACGCTATCTAGTAATTCATTACCAATATCTAGTTCGCTGTTAGCAGAATTTTGCTTTTGTCGGCGATATTCAGCTTCTGCAATTAATATTTAGTCTTCTATTAGCAATTCTTAACCTTCTGAGAGCAAAATGTACCTATCTGCAAACAGTAGTCTTCTAGAAACAGTATCTAGTCTTCTACCAGTAATATTTTGTCTTATGCAAACTATAAGTAGTCTTCTGCAAACGCTATACCAGGTGTAACAGGATCATGGTACACCCCCCGTATCTCCTTTAGTTTTGAAGATAATTGATTCAAATTTGGGACACCTATACACATGATAAGAGACACTTTTTGACATACAAATAATTTTTTTTTCAATTCCGGTTTCGCCGGAAGTGACACTAACATTAGATTTTTAAATGGAACACCCTGTATATTATTACATTTGAAATCTGAATAATTTTCTGAATCCAATGGTACCACATAAGTGACATTTCAAACGTCAATATTTTTTAGAATTTAATGTTTAATTTTCCATTTAAGTGTGCCATGAGAGTTCCGTTTTATTCTAATTAACCCGTCTAATGCTAGAAAAATCTAAATTCCGCCAAAAATACCAAATTACGTGATTTATGTGCAAATAAAGTTCATCAAAATGGTTTTTGGGGTATAACCCAATTTTTTCTAATGGAACCATATTGGTACCGTGGTACCATTTATTAGTACTATTAATAAGAAATTTATTTATACCTAGTATTAGAACATACGATAAATACAATAAAAATTACAGCTAAACAAAATAAGAAAATACAATTTTGATCTAATTAAATGTTAAGACGTTACTAAGATGGCTTTGGAAACAATGAAACTGTTTAATATGTCAAATACAAGGTAGATTGTTTGTTTATCGGTGTTTTTATTGTGTCTTTAAAAAGTGTTTACATTTATTGTTAATTTTGTTCAAAATGCCGCAAACTTATACAAGAGATGAAAAAGTGGACATGTTAATTATTTATGGGGAATGTAGAAGAAATGCCGTTGTAGCTAGAAACCTTCATGCCGAACGATATCCGGATAGACAATGTCCAGCGAGAAATTATTTTAATTGTCTTAAAATCAATTCCGAAGAGAGCCTAACCATGATCCCGAGATAATTCAATTATTAACGTAGAAACGGAAATTAATGTTTTGGCACCAATAGAAGTTGATAAGACTCTTTCTTTAAGACAAATTGGGTTTGAATTAGATATCAGTCACCAAACGGTAAGCCGAATTTTGCACAAATACAAGTATAAATCTTTTAAATACCAATTGCACCAGCACTTGTATGAAAATGATTACGAACGTAGGATGGAATATTGCAATTGGATTTTGCAGAATAACGTGCAGCCAAACAATGATTTTTTGGGAATGATCTTATTTACGGACGAATCCAGATTTACGAATTTGGGATTATTCAACTTACAAAATATTGGTCACAAGAAAATCAAAATTTATTGCGGGAGGGTAACTTTCAAGTGCGGTTCGGTTTCAATGTCTGGCTTGGAATAATGGGTAGTAGAATCATTGGTCCAAAAATATTTGAAGGACCCCTGACTAGAGACAGATACTTAGGATTTCTGCAAAATGAAATTGCGGGTAGTTTAGCCCAATTACCCCACCATTTACAACAGGAAATGTATTTCCAACAAGATGGAGCTCCTCTCCATAATTCAAGAACAGTAACTAATTACCTTCAACAAAGATTCGGAGACAACGTAATTTCGACAAATGGTCCAATAAGGTGGCCTCCAAGGTCACCTGATTTGACACCCCTTGATTTCTTTGTTTGGGGCCATTTAAAAAAGATTGTTTATGCAACCGCTGTTACAACCCGTGAAGATCTAGAGCTACGAGTAAGACGAGCACTTAATAGCATAACGGCCGAGCAATGGGAAAATGTTCTTCGGGAAACAGCTGTGAGACTTCAGAAGTGCAATGACGTTAATGGACAGCATTTTGAACAACTAATGTAATGTTTTGTGTTCATTTTTTTAATTCCAAAGCCACCTTAGTGACGTCTTAACATTTAATTAGTTCAAAATTGTATTTTCTTATTTTGTTTAGCTGTAATTTTTATTATTGTATGTTCTAATACTAGGTATAAATAAATTTCTTATTAATAGTACTAATAAATGGTACCACGGTACCAATATGGTTCCATTAGAAAAAATTGGGTTATACCCCAAAAACCATTTTGATGAACCTTATTTGCACATAAATCACGTAATTTGGTATTTTTGGCGGAATTTAGATTTTTCTAGCATTAGACGGGTTAATTAGAATAAAACGGAACTCTCATGGCACACTTAAATGGAAAATTAAACATTAAATTCTAAAAAATATTGACGTTTGAAATGTCACTTATGTACCACATAAGTTGGATTCAGAAAATTATTCAGATTTCAAAAATGTAATAATATACAGGGGTGTCATTTAAAAATCTAAAGTTAGTGTCACTTCCGGCAAAACCGGAATTGAAAAAAAAATTACATGTATGTCAAAAGTGTCTCTTATCATGTGTATAGGATGTCCCAAATTTGAATCAATTATCTTCAAAACTAAAGGAGATACGGGGGGTGTACCATGATCTTGTTACACCCGGTATAGTCATTTATTAACAGTATCGAGTTCGCTGCTAGCATATTTTGCTTTTCTCAGCGATGTTCAGCTTCTGCAATTAATATTTAGTCTTCTATTAGCAATTCTTAACCGTCTGAGAGCAAAATGCACTTATCTGCAAACAGTAGTCTTCTAGAAACGGTATCTAGTCTTCTACCAGTAATATTCTGTCTTGTACAAACAATAAGTAGTCTTCTGCAAACGCTATCTAGTCATCTCCCAGCAGTATTAAGTGTTCTGAAAGCAGTATCTAATTCTCTGCTAGCAGATTTTATTCAATTATCTCTTACTTGAGCTATTTCATTATTTAGATGTTTTCCCATATCGAGAATTTACCGTAATAAATTAATATGTTGATGTTGTATTATAATCGATTAGTATTCTCTTTGTAAAAATTGAATACCCTAAGTTATTAACAAACAACAGGAAGCAGATGACATCCTTAAACAATAAAAACAGTAACATTTCGAAAATACATTCCCATTTAGTTGGTAGGTTATTCTGGAAAATGATAATTTTCACAAATGAGACTAAACTCAATATAAAAATATCGACTGGACGAGTAAGAACGCGAAAGAAAAACAAGACCCTATATCCACACAATCTGATACATACGTTTAAGCGTGGTGGAAGTTTGGTGATGATATGGGGATGTTTTTCATCGGCAGGAGTCCGAAATCTTCATTTTATAGATGGAATATTGTCTGCGAAACGGGTTTAAGCCTTCTGTTATAGTAGTCTTCTAGAAACAGTGTCTAGTCTTCTACCAGCAGTATTTTGTCATGCAAACTATATGTAGTTTTCTGCAAACGCTATCTACTCATTCCTTAAGCAGTATCTAGTTCGCTGCTAGCAGAATTTTGCTTTTGTCAGCGATATTCAGCTTCTGCAATTAATATTTAATCTTCTATTAGCAATTCTTAACCGTCTGAGAGCAAAATGCACTTATCTGCAAACAGTAATCTTCTAGAAACGGTATCTAGTCTTCTACCAGTAATATTTTGTTTTATCTTTTATCTTTTTAAAAATCTCTCTTTGTAAAAATTGAATACCCTAAGTTATTAACAAACAACAGGAAGCAGATGACATCCTTAAACAATAAAAACAGTAACATTTCGAAAATACATTCCCATTTATTTGGTAGGTTATTCTGGAAAATGATAATTTTCACAGATAAGACTAAACTCAATATAAAAATATTGACTGGACGAGTAAGAATTTGGCGAAAGAAAAACAAGAGTCTATATCCACATAATCTGATACCTACGTTTAAGCGTGGTGGAAGTTTGGTGATGATATGGGAATATTATCTGCAAAACGGGTTTAAGCCTTCCGTTATAGTAGTCTTCTAGAAACAGTGTCTAGTCTTCTACCAGCAGTATTTTGTCATGCAAACTATAAGTAGTTTTCTGCAAACGCTATCTACTCATTCCTTAAGCAGTATCTAGTTCGCTGCTAGCAGAATTTTGCTTTTGTCAGCGATATTCAGCTTCTGCAATTAATATTTAGTCTTCTATTAGCAATTCTTAACCGTCTGAGAGCAAAATGCACTTATCTGCAAACAGTAGTCTTCTAGAAATGGTATCTAGTCTTCTACCAGTAATATTTTGTCTTGTACAAACAATAAGTAGTCTTCTGCAAACGCTATCTAGTCTTCGATTAGTACTATCTAGTCATTTCCCAGCAGTATTAAGTGTTCTGAAAGCAGATTTTATTCATTTTTCTCTTACTTGAACCATTTCATTCTATAGATGCTTTCCCATATCGAGAATTTACCGTAATAAATTAACGTGCTAATGTTGTATTATAATCGATTAGTATTCTCTTTGCAAAAATTGAAGACTTACCGTAAGTTATTAACAACAGGAAGCAGATGACATCCTTACACAATAAAAACAGTAACATTTCGAAAATACATTCCCATTTATTGTGCTGTCGAATACGCATTTTGCATGGATTTTTTTTTAATTTAGTGTCAAAGTGATTGCATAAGCTATAAATATATTTAAATTTATTATCTTTTTGAATAATTTATAACTAATACAATACTGTCACGTGGGTAATAACCCAATATCTTTATCAAATTTAGGTTGATACGGATTATTTAGCAATAACCAATCGGCTAAAAATAAAATCGGGTCAACCGGTTTATGTTTAACTAACTGTACTAATCCGTCTAATAGAGTTGGGTTAACATACATACTACAAAAATCGGTTACTTTAACTAATTCTTCTAAAATCGGTTCTAATGTGTGCCGGGGATAAACGTAACGGCTTTCCCGATAAGCGTCGGTTAAATTTTCGGAGCCATGCAAAGAGTCGATTAACGCCTCCAATAAACCGAATCGTACTCGCATGCTCATCGGATAAAACCATTCCTCTCGGATCATTTTATCCGGACCGATCATGTTTTTCCATTTAGAGATAGCGCAAGCATCAGCTAAGGAAAGTACTAAAACGGGGCCAACAGACATACTAACTACTTGGTGGGGAAAAGCTGGACTTCCGTAGTATTGGCAAAAGAATTCGGATACTTCTTCCGGTGTGAAATGAATTACTCTCCTCTGAAACAAAAAAATTAAAAAATGAAATAATTTTTTTTTAAGTTTAAAAAAAAAATTTCCGATACCGGGAATCGAACCCGAGCCTCCTGGGTGAAAGCCAGGTATCCTAGCCACTAGACCATATCGGATTGATACAGAATTATAACAATTTGTAGGATTAATATGACGTTTTATGTTCTGATATAACGGATATCGTTGGGATGGAGTTCGGATATAACGGACAAAATAAGGCGCATCTAAGTAATCGTACCATTAGAACTAACACTAGATCTAGAACTAGAAACACTCGGGTTTAGCCGACGGTTTAAACATGCTTTCGACTTAAATGTGACTGATATAGATCAAAATTATAAGATTATCGTCAGAACTCTAAGGAATGAATTAACAATTGTCCATAACATGTCAAATCCATGTCAAACATAAACATAACATCATACCTATTCCAGATATGAATAAGGAACACATCAGAACGTTCTCAAATGTGACTTATACAGATCAGAACTATAAGATTATTGTCAGAATTCTCAAAAATGTTTTAAAGTTGTCCACAATATATTAAACCATGTCGAACATCTTAGTATATTGATATTGGTATCAATAAAAATATCCATGTCAAATGGTATATCATTAGAATCGTTGAGAAAAGGCCTTTTTTATAAAGTCATGGCCAACTATGGTCCATTAGAAAAATTACAAATTTGTGTCATAACTCAAAAATTATTGCTTAAATAAAAAAATCAGTTAGACTGCTTTATTAAACATGTAATACCCTACAAATTCTTCCATTACACATTTTTCCTAAAATCAATAATAGCGGAGCCATAGGTATCTAACGATATAACAAAAAACGGTTTTTTCGAGATATCTAGTTAGCCATGCATTTTATCCAAAAAACAAAAAGCTCATTAAATTGAGTTCATGAAACAGCAATTCGTTCCCTATTTAATAGCCTCTCTATCTCCGCTAGTTTTCAAGATCTCGATACTAAACATGGAAAAAAACTCACCCTGTATACTCAATGTATCAGAACTATGTCACATATGTCAAAACAGAAATACATCAGATTATGTCAAAATTAGCAAAGATGTACCAAACTATATCTAACATAAACATACCGTCAGATATATGCAAGATATGAATTTGCAACACATCTGAAGGTTCTCAAATGTGACTGATATACAGTGTGTCCCCGGTAAAGTACCTTTTCTGTTTACAGTACGTGAAAGTGTTACTAAGAAGTTTTGTTCAGAATGAAAAACTATGGCCATAAGCAAATTTTCGGAATGATCGGCCTACTTTGATAAAAATCTTTTTACCTGACACACAAGGAGTTTTCGCTTCAGTGTCAACACTCACTTGTTTTTTACAACTTGAAAATATGTTCAAAATTAGTCTTTCCCCAAGGAGAGCTAAACCCCAAAAAATGACAATTAATATCGAAAAAATTTTACATTTTATAAGAATCGTTTCAAAACTATGTCAAACATCTCAGTATGCAAGAACTACATTGATTTATACTATAGATATATAATCAATGTATCAGAACTACGCCATATATGTCAGAAATACATCAGATTATGTCAAAATTATCAAAGATGTATCAAAACTATGTATAACATAAAGGTAACGTCAAATATATGCAAGATATGAATTTGGAACATATCAGAACGTTCTCAAATGCGACTGATATAGATCAGTACTATGAGATTATTGCCAGCATTCTGAGAAATATATTAAAATTGTCCACAATATGTGAAAACTGTATCAAACATCGCAGTATGCAAAAACTACATTGATTTATAGTATAGATAATATAATCAATGTATCAGAACTATGTCATATATGTCAGAAATACATCAGATTATGTCAAAATTATCAAAGATGTATCAAAACTATGTCTAACATAAACATAACGTCAGATATATGCAAGATATGATTTTGGAACACATCAAAACGTTATCAAATGTGACTGATATAGATCAGAGTTATAAGATTAATGCCAGCATTGAAATATATTAAAATTGTCCACAATATGTCGAAACTATATCAAACATCTCAGTATGCAAAAACCATATTGATTTGTAGTATAGTTATATAATCAGTGTATCAGAACTATGTCATATATGTCAGAAATACATGAGATATATGTCAAAATTACCAAGAGAATGTCAAAGTTATCAAGGATGTATCAAAACTACGTCTAATATAAACAGAACATTAGATCTATACAAGATATGACTTTGGAAAACATCAGAACGTTCTCAAATGTGACTGATATAGATCAGAACTATAAGATTATTGCCAGCATTCTGAGGAATGTATTAAAATTATCCACAATATGTCAAAACTATGACAAACATCTCAGTATGCAAAAACCATATTGATTTGTAGTATAGTTATATAATCAGTGTATCAGAACTATGCCATATATGTCAGAAATACATCAAATATATGTCAAAATTTCCAAGAGAATGTCAAAGTTATCAAGGATGTATCAAAATTATGTCCAACATAAACATAACGTTAGGTCTATACAAAATATGACTTTGGAACACATCAGAACGTTCTCAAATGTGACTAATATAGATCAGAATTATAAGATTAATGCCAGAATTGTGAAAAATGTATTAAAATTGTCCACAATATTATCGACGTATAATATTGTGGACATTATACGTTAAACTATGTCACACATCTCAGTATGCAAAAACCATATTGATTTGTGGTATAGTTATATACTCCTAATGCCGTACTCTAAAGACGGCTAAACCAGAATGATTCTTGTTGTAGGTCTAGTGTTAGTTCTAGTTTAAATTATTATTCAGCGCTAGATTGTTGTATATTTTTATTGAAAAGTGGAACTAACACTAGACTTAGAACTAGAAGCAATTGGATTTAGCAAAATCTAGAACACAACTTCCAGTTAACCTAATGATGAAAACATATTACAAAGACGGCTTATGTCATGGAAATGGAAATCATGTACGGCAGTACAAGAAATTACAAGATTTTAGCTAGACATCAGATACTACGGTTAGCAGAGATAATATTGCAATGAATCTATGGACCTAAAATTTTCAGTGTTATTAGTTGTGCATTATCAGTTATCATTATCATAACTGCCAGTTATGAGTGCTACTATGTGCCTTCTAATAACAGATGCAATAAGCCCAATTTGAAATAAACCGCATACTAAGAAACGTTATTTACGAAAGTCTGGATTAACTCGATAAAATTATTCTTCACGGCCAAAATTAAAAACACATTTGTGGCAGTATGGGGGATGATGAAAACCAATGTTGTTCGGCAAATACGAAAAATGTCTCAAAGTACTCCAAAATTACCAACACTAACGTTTTCGGCCGTTGAAGACGATCTTTTAATCGAGTTTGTGCACAAGTACGTAATGATATAGGAGTGAAGAAATTTTGAAAATTGCGTTCATTATGTCGAAGCATATTTAGACGTTCTGATTTTGCTGAGACGGTAGACATCATGTAATATTTCTGCCTTGAAATAGGCTTCACCATATGCCTACATAAACAAAATCAACTAATAGATGAGGCAGCAAAACATCAGAATACTTTTCACCAACGCACATAGGGGTATTTGATATCTAAAGTTGGCCAAAACTCAAATTTATTAATTACAGAAAAGAACAATTCTAATGAGTTTTGGGAATGGTGTTATAGATAGTGCATCAAATGGCAGCCATTTTGAAATGGTGGTTAAAGTGGTTCATTTACAGTGTCAGGTGGAACCTCGTCTTCGGTTACGTTGCACGTTGCAATTCTCGGTACTTCAAAACACTTACTTTTAGTCTTCGTAAAAGTCAGTGATACTTTTGTTGAAAAAATTTACGAAAAGATACAGATCCACAGCAGTTAAGATTTGCAGCACAAATGAGCTTGAGGGCCACTGGCAATTTAGCTGCTTCAAGCTGCTTAAAAGATATTACGAAATCGTCAACGAGGGCAAGCAAATTTCGCAAATGCCTTACTAAAGTACATCATATACCACAACTATCACCTACAGAAGCGTTATCTATGTTTGTGAGAAACATAATGTGTTATCAATATTGTGAGAAAAGTTGACAAACAGCGTTTTCCGTGTTACTTAAAATGCAGAACAGCAGTGCTATCCAAAACCTGAGGCATTTCGAGTAACATTTACATGTGCTGAGGTGAAATTGCAAGATATACTGGACCACACTTATATATCGTTTATACTAGGATCTGGACGAAGTCTTTGAACGATGCAGTAAACAAGAATGATCTCTGATGCAAATATCTACCAAAGGCCCTCTGTTTCACTTAGATTAAGAACTAAAGAGGGCAAAATATTGTGGCAAAATCCAATGCTATCCTTCCACCGATATTGTAGGCCCATAAGAATGAGGTTTATTCATGAAACGAAGCGTGTTGCCAAAGATGAAATCATATATGTAGAACATCAAGTAAATTAACTACAAAAAAGTAAAGTACCTTTGAAAAGAAGGCCTGATCTCGAAATTGGATACAAACTATTATTTACTATGGTCTATGGCAGAAATTCATCTAGAAGATTTTTCCAAGATCCTTAATCGACAAACGAAATTACTGGAGTTGATGAAACCTTAATTTACAGATTGAAGATTATATTGGAAGCAATATCAAGTGGACATGAGATTAATGTCGCTAAATTTGAAATATATGTATACGAAACAGCTCAGTTGTATATTACTTTATACAGCTGGCATCCGATGACACCAACCATGCATAAAATTTTAGTGCATGATGCTAAATTAATGCCAGTATGCCGATTGGGCAACTATAAGAGGAGGCTGCTGGAACCAGAAACAGAAACTTTCGTACAGAGAGGCAAGGATTCGCAAGAAAATTTTCCCGAGAGGCGTGCAATAGAGATGATATACATAGATTACTGTTGAGCTCTGATCCTCTTATTACGTGCGGCTAAACTCGAATGATTCTAGTTCTAGGTCTTGTGTTAGTTCTAACGATAGTGCTAGCGCAAAACTAGAACTAATACTATACCTAGAACTAGAATCATTCTGATTTAGCCGTCTTTAGAGACGTGCGGCTAAACCCAAATGATTCTAGTTTTAGGTATAGTGTTAGTTTTACGTAGTAACACTGCTAGTGTAAAACTAGAAATGCAATACTAAAACTAACACTAGACCGAGAACTAGAAACATTCGGATTTAGCCGCACGTCTCTCAAGACGGCTAAACCCAAATGATTCTAGTTCTAGATCTTGTGTTAGTTCTAATGATAGTGCTAGAGTAAAACTAGAACTAACACTAGACATAGAACTAGAAATATAGAACAGAAACTTTCTAGTACTAGGTCTAGTGTTAGTTCTAGTTTTAGTTCAATAAAAATATGCAACATAATGATATTTTATGCTAACTAGCGCTACCTACCAGCCGTCTTAAGAGAGGTATGGCAAATCAGAATGTTTCTAGTTCTATGTTAAGTGTTAATTCTAGTGTTAGTGTTAGTACTTACAGCTATGTACGAAAATCCCGCATTTGTAATCGCTCTAAGTACAACATCTTGATAAACCATAGCTTCCGGTTTAACGATAGCAATCGTTCTTTGTAAATGTGGTTCAACACAACTTATCGTTGATGAACTAATACTTGATATACTAATTGGTAGATATTTTGGTTTTGGTTCGATTAATTTTAAATAATCAACATCACCTTCGTATACGGATCTTGGAGATAACGGAGATACCGGTGATAAATAATGAATGGTATCTAACATGGTTGATCCGGTAATATCGGAGTCTGTTGGACGTTGTTTTGATTCAGTAGTCACATCGGGAACCTAAAAAAGAATTGTTATTTTGGTTAAAATTAATGATTATCATGTTATTACTGTATCTTGATCGGCGTCTAAAACGGAGTCGGATACATTCGCAAAACAATCTGGGGCTATATCGTTTGGGCAAAGAGGTTTTAAATCGCCAACGACATCGCTTGGAATTGAAGCTCTATCAGCCATTTTTTTTAATTAGGATTTATTAATAAACGAAATAATATTGAATTTTGTAAAAAAATTGTCAAATTTGATAAACGACGTTTTTAAATTATTTATGTCAATTAACAAAAAATATATGTTTCACTTTTTATTACCAAAGTAGCTACTTAAAAAGTTTACATTAAAAAGAAATAAGTTTTCATTGACACTCTTCAATGATAATTCCACCGCTCGTTGCACTTGGGCAACTTTGATAAACTTTATCTCCATTTACTTCATTATTACCGATATTATCAGTTACATTAAATACTTTACAACTTTTTACGCAATCCCGTCTTCGTGTATTCGTCATTTTCTCTCCTAATCGTTTTGAGCATCTACATCGTTTATTCTTGATCGATTCTTCATCTTTCTTCGATTTCTTCTTTTTCTTTAATTTTAAGCTTTCCGACGTCGAACTTGAGTCTTTTTTCATAGTGGTGTTACGTTTACATTTATATGTACATGGAGATGTTGGTGATTTGGTATCATTAGTATCATTACTTTGTTTGTTTGGCATCATAGGTGGTGGTGGTAAAAATGGCGACATTGGAAATGGTGGTGGTGGATAAGGTGGTAATGGTGGTATTAAACAACTACAAACACAAGGTTTTGACGAAAAGTTTGATGGGAAAGCATTCGATTTTGATTGGGTCTTATCTCCATTTGTTTTCATTTGACGTAAAGTTGATATTTTTGATTTTATGTCGATTAAAGCTGATTTAATTGGTTCCATTTCATCTTGACAGGTCTGTAGGGCTTCCATTATTTGTGCCCCTTTACTTGAATTATTGTTTTGTTTTGGTAATTCTTTTGAAGAAGTCTTTTTTGATTTCTTTTTCTTCTTTCCAGTTTCAAAACATGCGCAAGTATTTACTGGTTGTTGTGTTTTATTGCTTGATGGTGCACGATTTGGACATGGAACCATTTCATTTTTATCAAATTTCACTAAAGCTCTTGAATTGGGATCATTATTATTCAACTCATCGCCATGTTTCAGCGGGCAAGTTTGGGTATCACAACCTTTCGTTTTCTTTCGAATTGATCCCTTAATTTTGATATTTCTTGGAATTATAATTTCATCCCATGGTATTTCAGTATATGGGCCACATTCTGTGTCACAATCATCTGGAAAATGCTTGTACCATCCATCAACGTAAGGTTCATGATTGGCAAAACAGGGATTATCATAAGTCATTCTTAATGCTTTTAAATTTGAACAATCCTCTTCTTGTAAACAAAGACATTTTTTAAATGGAATACATTCATCTTCTTCTTCTACTTTTGGTGGGGCTTCATCTTCTTCTGGGGCTTCCTCTTCTTCTTGGGCTTCACCATCTTCTGCGGCTTCGCCTTCTGCTGGGGGTTCACCTTCTTCTGGGGGTTCACCATCACCTGCTTCTTCACCTTCAACAAATTCTTCTGGCGCATCTTCTTCTTCTCCTGCTTGTTCCGCTTCTTTTCGCATTCGCATAGCTTCTTTTTCGGTGTTTGTGCATTTACAAGCTCCAATGTCATCGGGAACTTGAACTTGTTCAGATACATCTTGTTCGATAACATCTTTTTTGTTTCTCCAACATTGACAAGGACCCTAAAAATAAATCATCAAAACAGGAAATTCAATAATTATTTCTTACCTTTTTACGAAACGGTTTTTCTTTTCTGGAAACGATTTGGAGAGTACCCGGTGGTGGTAAACTAAACTCCAACCAAGGTATTTCAATGCGACCTTCACATCGATCGGTTTCGACTTGAACTTCAGGCAATGAAGGAATAGATTCGCTCGGTTTTAAGTCATCCTCAAAATCGGAGTCTTCATAAATCAGGGCGAGATAATGTTCTGTGTAATCAGGTTCTTTATCGACGATCATTTCGTGCATGTCCGACATTGATTCATTCGATTTCACCGCTGACGGATCAAAACCCTCTTGACAATCACATTCTCTAAAATCTTCTGTGGCCATTTTTATATTTCTTTATAAAAAATTAAAAGTAAAAAGAATTGATTAAAATAAAGACAGAAAAAAATAAGTTGATCAAGACATCATATTGGAACTTTTTGATACAATTGTGATCAAATTAATGATATAGAATAGCTAAGTGGAAAGAATCCGAAACAATGTTAAATGTTAAACAATGTTAAACAAACCTAAAAATCGCAGAAATAATGCAAGAACTAAGCAGATACATACAAAATAAAGAAAAGGAAAGTAGTCCAAATACAAACAAACTGGAAATGAATTCATAATAAGCCAGAAGAAGTCAAAACACTATCGAAGCCAAATTGAAGCTATCAAGCAAATATGTAAAAACTCGGAACGATGCCAAAAAATAAAAGAAATGCTTGGAAATAAGTCAAAAAAAGCCATATGATAGAGGTTTCTACAAGTATTTGGTACTCTAAGAGTTCTGGGACAAGACAGATACAATAAGATAAAGAGTACAGCTAGATCAAAGAGAAAGATGTTCTTTGCTTAAACAATTTTTTGGAAAATTGTGCAGGATATTCACGTTGCACTTTCATCCTGGATTTGAATTTAGGAAGCCACAGTCAACCTTCCTCTGTACCGTCAACAAATCGACTGGCATGGGTTATCATGTTACGAAAACATGGAGTTTTCCTTTTATTTGGTGAAAATTTTACATTTCTATTTTGATTTGTTGCTTATCTGTGACTGGTCAAAACTGCACCATGACTTTATAAACACACTGCATAATTATACATAGGATAACAACCCTTGTAAAATTAAGATTCCATGGGAGGTATTGAATGGAAATAGGGAGGAAGGAGATGAAGGGAATATACTTATACGGGTGCAAGGGGGGCGTCCGTGACAGATTATGTGATAGTGGACCAAGGAATATGAGAGACGGTAGGAGATAGGGTGGATTCGGATCACCAATCGTTACAGGTGCAGTTGAAGTAAAATTTGTTAAGACAGATTGGTCAGGAGGGGATAAAACGCTACAGAGGAAATTTGACGAGCTGGCGACAAAGAGGGGAAGAAGTCATGGGACTGGAAGATTTGATGGAGGTGGTGAATGACGCGTTACCGAGGAGGGAGTGCTCGCGGCGGGGACGCATTCTGGGAAGGAACAAATGGTGGGATGGAGAATGCAGGGAGGCAAGGAGGAGATTGAAGCAGTGTCGGACAGGTTCAGTTATAAGGAGGCACGAAGAAGGTACAAAGAACAGGGAGTTGAGGTTCAGGGAGGTAGCAAAAATTAAGGTGATAAGACGGAAAGGGGATGTGTGAAAGGGAAAGGAGGAGGTTAGTAACGATATGCAGATGGCGGAAGGGAGGAGTCAGTTGATGAATTTGTTGGGAGAGGTAAAAGATAGGCTGGCGGCCGAGGAGGAGGAAACGACTGAGGGGGGTGACGAGATTACGGAGGAAGAGTTGTCAACAGTTTTTAGGGAGTTGAGGAGGGGAAAGGCACCGGGGGAGGATGGTGTAGAGAACGAGGCATGGTTCGAGGCGACAGGAGAGGTGAGAGGGAAGCTGTTGGAGACGTTGAACAATGTATGGAGGGGGAAGGGTTTCCGAATGGTTGGAGGATGGGTATACTATGTACAGTGCACAAAAAAGTATGTAAGAGAGCAGTGGAGAGCTATAGGGGAATCAGCATACTCAACTCCTCATATCAGATTTATGCGAAGATACTGCTGGGAAGATTGGAGAAAGAGATTAATATGTTGCTGGATAGAGAGGCAGGTTTTAGGAATGGTAGAGGGATCGATAACGTTTACATCTTAAAACATTCGATGGATGTTTTATGGAGATGGAGAGAAGGAGCGTAAAGGTATATACAGGGAAACGACAGCTAGAGTAAAGCTTAGGTCACACGTAACGAGTACAGTGGCGAGACAGTAAAATGACACTAGGCCGAGAGAGTGGCGTGGCATTCAAATCCCCGTTCAAACGTTTCGCCCTGATATACTTTTCCTCATCTAGATTGGTTTTTATGACAGTCATAAATAAAAGCCGGAGTGATTTCTGCCCGCTCGAGTACCTGAAAAGATTTATGACAGTCAATCAAGAATAGGGTCGAACTTAAATTGTTGTAAACTGAAATTTTGTAAAAAACCAAAGTTTAGTTATAACAACTAAAATTATATTACTACTTATTATACTACGTCGAGCGTTCGCCCGAGCACTCGGTAAAGCCTAGGTCACACGTAACGAGTACACTGTCTCGCCAGTGTACTCGCTACGTGTGACCTAGGCTTTAGAATAGGGAAAACGATGAGCAAACCGTTTTGGACAGAGGTGTCCATTGAGCCCCAGCCTTTTTGCCTTGTATATGGTCAATTTGGAAGGAAGGCTGGAGAAGGGGCAAATGGGAGGAGCGGTGGTGGGAGGAAGAAAGGTTCACGTGCTAGCGTACGTGGATGACATGGTGGTTGTGGCGAAGCATGCGGCGGAAATAAGAAGGATAGTGAGACACTTGGAGAGGTATTTCAGGGCGAAGGAGTTGGAGGTGAATATAGCAAAGACAAAGATGATGAAGTTCAGCAAAGGGGAGAACTTCAGAAGAACTTCGGGGCAGAACTTCGAAAGGAGAAGAATGGAGATAGGAGGGGAGAGAGATTGAGGAGGTGAGAGAATTCACGTATCTAGGATACAGGTTCAGAGAGGATAGCAAGGACGCGGCGCATGTGAGGGAGATGACTAAATGAGCAAATAAGGTGATGGGGCAGGTTTGGAGATGGGGTAAGAGAGTGTTTGGAAGGGGCATCTGAAAGATAAAGATTATGTTTGACGGGTTGGCAAGATATTCTGCAGGACGTACAGAATTGGTACTGGAGGTGCGTTCTGGGTCTGGCAAGGGAAACACCGGGGTATATTGTGAGGGAGGAAGTGAAGGTGGATGAAATGAGAGTGGAGGCAGGCAGAAGAGCAGTTAATTATGAGGAAATGGTAGATAGAAGACCATACTGCGGGATCCTGGAGGAGTGTTGGAAGGAAGTTAGCGAAGGGAAGATTAGATATGGTATTATAGGAGGAATAATTACAAAAGGACGGGTTATTCGGAGGTAGAGATAAATAACAGAAGGAGGGAAGGGGTGATCATATTGAGGAGGTAAGCTACAGGGTTAGCTACGTCCAGATGACGATAGGGGAAGTTGAATTTGGTTTGTCATATACAAGTATTGTAATGAAAAAGATTGCAAACTTTTAGTTGACGATAAACTCTTATATACAGAGTGTCCCGAAACTCAATATCAAGCGGGCACCGGGTGAGAGGCCAACCCATACCTGTTCTGGTAAATATAAGAAAAAAATTCCATGTCTCTTAGTTAAGTGGTAATAGACATATTTTTGAAAGTGTTAAAAATAGTTCCCGTACATCATATCTTAAGATTTTTTTAATAATGTATTTCTTGTGAACCTTGCTACTATAGAAATCACAAATTAAACAACAAAAGTCATTAGTTTTGCAAAAAAAAAAACTATTAGTTTGATCGAGTTTAGGTTAAAAGAATTTTTGTCTATAAAGTTTGACACACGATTTCTAAAAAAAGGAGTAGTACAACACCCTTGGCAAGTTATTTTAAAAGATGGCCTGTTTAATCAACTTTCCAAAATGGTACAACACTTGCCATTTTTGTTTTCATAAAAAAATATTATTGCCTGTTTTTCTGCAAAAAATACGTTATTTAAAAAATTCATACTTTCCTATGCTATTTGTATTTACTCTTTATTTCCTCTTAACTTTGTTAGAAGATGTTCCAGTCAATATCTACGAACTACAAAATGTGGTTTCAACAAGACGATTGCCCTTATGTCTTGCAAAAGGACTGTTTCAAATAAGGTTAACCTGAAGACAAAATTAAACAAACAAAAGCATTATTATAGCATTATTTTCTTAAAACTAAAGCAAATGCTCAAATTGTTTGCCGTCGGCACTAATACAAACTCTGCATAGTCGCAGAAAAGATCTTTTTACTAGTTGTACAAATCTCTTTGCAGTTATTTCTTCTGCTGCTGTATAAATATTGTGGCAGACTTCGGCAAGTTTTTCAATCAGTTTTTAAAACACTGTTTATTTTATGCAATGCTAATAAAAAAATCAAGGGGATTTATGCCCAGAGAATGAGGAGGCCACGTAATCGAATCAATCCATCTTACTGGCTATACTGTATGCAATACCGTATATACATTTCCGTATACCACATTTCTCTGTAGATATTGAGTGGCACATCTTCTAACACATTTGTTAAATTATTTTGGAGGAAATACAAATAACATACGAAAGTATGATTTTTTTAAATAACGCGTTTTTTGCAGAAAAACAAGCAATATTTTTTAGGAAAAGAACACTGGCAAGTGTTATAACGTTTTGGAATCTTGATTAAACAGGCCATTTTTTTAAATAATTTGCCAAGGGTGTTGTACTATTCCTTTCATAAATTCTTTCAACCTTAACTCAATCAAACTAATCCTTTTTTTTGCAAAACTAACGACTTTTGTTGTTTGATTTGTGACTGCTATAGTACCATGGTTCATAAGGAATACATTATTAAAAAAAATCACTATTAAATTGCGAACATTTCTGACCGAAATACCTAAAGATATGATATACAGAAACGATTTTTTACATTTTCAAAAATATGAGTTGGCCTCCCACCCGGCGCCCGCTTGACGTTGAGTTTCGGGTCACCTGTATACATACAAACAAAAATAATAATTTCAATTATTTTAAATTTAATATATTATTAAAAATTGAATAGAATCAATACAAATTAAACATAATCAAACGAAATAGAATAAACCAAAACAAATGTTTAAATAAAATTTTTTGTTTTTAAGTATTTATACAAATCGTTTTTTAATAACTTTATCCACGGAACTTTTAGCGTAAATCATCAATTTATAATAATACATCACCATTCTCAAATAATATTCAACTTTTTCGAAATTTTTAAACAAAATCTTATCAAGTTTTCCATTTTTCGCATTTTCCAAATTTTTATTCGGATTTTTCGCATATTTTAAGCCGCAGGTATCCTCGTATAGATCGATTTTGTTATCCCCGGCCATTTCATTAATCGATTGAATAAGACCAAAAAATTCCGTTATACTCCTTTTCGTCAAATCAATTCCTTGTTGTATCGCAATATCGTATTGTTGACTTTTATGTTGTATTGGATCGGAAAAACGAATATCTTCGCTTGGAGTTATTGGTTTTGTCGGTTTTAATAATTCTTCGATCGGTAGCTTTTTTGATATAAGATCTAATGGTACCGGATCGGTTTGAGTGAGTTGATCGAGAAATAAAAGATCTTTTGTTGGTTTTTGTATTTTTTTCTTTTTGTTAGAAGATTTGTCGGTTTCTTTTTGATTTTTATGCAAAATTTCGCGGTTTTTATCTAAAATTTGTTGGTTTTTATTAAAAACTTGTTGCATTTTATTTAAAATTTGCGCTTTATCCATTATTTCGGTGTCTTTATCAGAAAAATCGGCCTTTGAAGCTGTGCTTAGAAGTTTATGGTTATGGTAAACAACGATTTCATTTTTATTCTTTTGATTGGTATTGTTATCCCCCTTAATAATATCCATTTTATTAAATACTCTTTGTTCTTTATCGAATACTTCAACCACTTCGTTGATATTTTCTGATTTTTGATTATTCTCAAGTATTTCTTTATCGAAAGCTTCTTGTAATTTAGTAAATATTTCTGTGTTATCCCCAAATATTTCTTGTTTATCGACAAAAATGTCAATTTTTAATTGATTTTCGGGTTTATTTATAATGCGATCAAATACTGCATGTCCTTGATTGAAAAGTTGTTGTAATTTATTAAAAATTTCTTTTTTATCTAAATTATCTGGTTTGTTTTCAAATATTTCGTTACATTTATCGTAAATTTGTTGTTGTTTATCAAAAACATCTGGGTTTTCATAAAAACTTTCTTGTTTTTTATCCAAATCTTCATTGTTTTTGTTATCATTGTTATTAAAACCCAAATTTAATTGTTTCTCGTCAAACACTTCATTTTGTTCACCAAATAACTCCATTTTTAATGCTTCTTTATCGTTTACATTTTCTTCCTTTTTATCCAAAATTGGTAAACGCTTATCGAAAACTTCAACTATTTTATCAAACATATTCGTTTTATATAATATTTCGCGATCTTTATCAACAATTTCACGAACACTTTCTTCTTTTTCTTCTTCTTCTTTTTTTTCTTTTTCATGAAATTTTAATAAAACATCACCAACTAAATCCGTATTTGTGCAGCTACTTTTAACCTTTTTCACGCTAGATTTTAACGTTTTTTTCTTGTTATCTTCATTTAAATCGATTTCAACATCAGTTTTTTTAAATTTAGTATGATTTGATTTTTTTTCTTTAATTTCCTTTTTTTCACTAAAAAATTCTGACAAATAGAGTCTTCTCGATTGAATTAAATGATCCAAAAATTCGTTGTAATTTTCCTCTTTACTCTCAATTTGATGCACAACGTTTGAACCTTTCAAAACTTTTTTTGTATCGCTCGGTTCGTTTTTATAAAGAGGAATCAAAGATTTTAATGTGAAACTTCCTTTGCTTTTTAATTTTGTTGTTGATTGTTTAGAAGGTATTGTATTTTTAAGCGAAGCAGATGATTTTTTATTCGCTGATAATGTTTTCGGCGTTTTGGGTAATTTTTTATCATTTTTTTTTGGTAAATTTATTATTGACATATTTGATAATTTTTTATCCGATCTTCTTATGGTATTAATTGATGGGTTTACATCGGAATTTGATGACTCTTCTAAAGTTGAAAGTGATGAATTTCTTCCTAAAATTATCTTCTTTGTTAAAGCAGTGGAGATATCATTTTTAAAGCCGGCGACGATTCTATCTAATTTTTGAATGCTTTTACTCATTTCGTTGATGCGTTTACTTTCAAGATTTGATTTTTTCGGTTTTAATGTTTTTCCTTTATTATAATCATCACTTTTATATTTTACGTCGAATTTAGTATTAAATTTTGGGTCAAAATTATAATTAAATACTGGCTCCATTTGTTCCTTAAATTTTTGTTTAATTTTTGGATTAAATTTAGAATTAATTTTTGGATCAAATTTAGAATTAATCTTTGGATCAAATTTAGAATTAATTTTTGGATCAAATTTAGAATTAATTTTTGGATCAAATTTTTGTTCAAATTTGTGATAATTTTTTTCATTATTATACAACACTTTCGTTTTACTTTTATTTATTGGAGACGACCTAACGTTTTCCTTCTTTTCCAAACCTACCAATCATAACAATTTCATTCAAAAAAATTTAAAACATAAATAATTTTTTAACCTGTTAAATCGTAATCCGACAGAATCTTGCTTTTTTTAACTTGAAAGCTTGAATTTCCCAGTAAGCATCTCGCCAAAACATCTCCTAAATCCGTAGATTTTCCAAAAGTTCTCGAAGAAATATTTTTTGTTATACTTTTCGTTGAACTTTTTGTGTTTATATTATTTTTCGTTATGACATTTTTTTTCTTGATTGATGGCAAGTTTTTGTTGCTTTCTTTTCCCTGAGATTCGCTTAAATTTAAGTTCGAAGTTTTCTTTGGCATTTCTTTTTTGGTACATTTGTTGAATTGTTTGGATGATATTTATTTGGTGGTGAGAAGTTGAGGTCTGGTGAAGAAGAAAAACGTAAGGTTTTCTTCATTTTTTTTTAAGTTAAATCATAAAGCTCTAAATACCTTTTTTATAGAAATCCAAAATTTGTTTGTAAAAATCTTCCACTAAAATTTTGATCTTTAAAGAATTTCTTCATGACAATTTAAATGCCAAATTTTACAATAATAATTTATTAACTTTCTAGATTGTCAAAAAGTTTTTCTTTTGTTAGAAATTTTTTTTAATTTGATCTTAATTCCTTCCCCTCAACCACATTCGAACTTATAAACACTATTAGAAAAATATTTAAAAACAAGAGAATTGAAAGAGATCATCAAAAATTCAAAAGAATTCTTATTAAGAAAAGAAATACAGGATATAATAACTACGAGTTGGTCTTGGATAAAATTTTGGAGTCAATAAG